CATGGTGAAGGGCTTGGCCAAGGAGAATGGGTGACCAGTGGTGGAGGGGCAGGCCTGGGAACTGGCCACCCCAGCTGCTGGGGCTTCCGTCAGTGGTGGAGAGGTGTTGCCTCTAGCCCCCCTATAGGCCTGACACCCCTCCCAAGCAGGGAGGTGGGCCTGGGGCAGTGGAGGCCACAGGGCAGGGACACACAAGGAACTTCAGGAGCAGGGTGGTCGCCCTCACTGCCTCAGGGTCCTGAGAAACAATCACATCCGGTTGAAATAATAAACAGTATCAGATACACCATCTGCTAACCCAGCAGCACACTTAAGAGCCAGATATCTGGAAGTGGAGACCTCTTCGAGGCGAGTTTTGGTTATGGTGAAGACAGGAGACTTTGCTCCAGCCCGTGTGAGTTACGGAGGGGCAGGGTTTATGTCATGAGACTTTTTAAGGAACTGGAGGCCAGGTGAGTGGGGAGGCCATTCAGGATCCCTGCGGCCATTTAGGGGGACACCCTGCTGAGAGCGTCCCTGTATTAGTTTTCTATCACCGCAGTAACACGTACCACGACCCCAGTGGATGAAAGGAACACAAATTATTGAGTTACAGAAGTCGGACGTGGGTCTCACTGGGTTAAAACTAGGGTGTTGGCAGGACTCCGTTCTTTCTGGAGGCTCTCAAGGAGAATCTGTTTTCTTGCCTTCTCTGGTTTCTAGAGGCTGCCTGCTTTCTCGTGGCCCCTTCCGTCTTCAAAGACAGCAGTGGCTGGTCTTTCTCACCCAGCATCACTCTAAACTGACTCTTCTGCTCCCTCTTGTAAGGACCCTAATGCTTACATTAGGACCACCGAGACCATCTGGGATAATGTTCCTGCTGTTATCCTTACTTCCATCTGCAGTATTCATTCCCCTCTGTCACGTATCCACATATCCACAGGCGTCAGAGAGTAGGACATGGACACTTTGGGGGGCTTTATTCTGTCTACCCCCGTCCCTGCCCTGTTCCGGGGGCTGAGGAGGTAAGGAATAGGAGGCAAGGAGCCCCATGTGGGTTGGGAAGTCTGCTTTCTTGCCCTGGGGCAGCCCCCTGGGTGGCTGTGTGAGACCCTCTCCCTTCCTTCCTAACTCCAACTTCAACAACACATTGCCCCATTACTAACGTCTCCCCCAAACCCTGCACTTCTGAGGGGTCAAAACGCTTGTTAAATAGAGCAGTGTTTCTCCTCCTCAGCACTATTGACATTTTGGATCAGATTGCTCTGTGTTGTCGGGGCCTGTCCCATGCATTGTGCAGTGTGTAACCACATCCCTGGCCTGTGCCTACTCATGGCCAGTAGCACCCCCAGCCCAGCTGTGACAACCAAAAATCTCTCTAGACATTGCCAAATGGCCCCCAGAGGACAAATCGCCTGGGTTGAGAACCACTGAAATAAAGTCTTTAATGTCTGTCTTCCTTGCTAGATTAGAAGCCCCCAAATGGCGACACCCTGTGTCTCTTGCCTGCCACTGTGTCCCCAGCACCTGCATAGAGCTTGGCATTTAGTAGATGCTCAACATATATTGGTTGAGTGAATTAATGAGTCTGTGTTAATTTTCCTAATGGATAAATTAATCCATAAAAAGTATGCGTGCACGCACACACACACACACACACACACACACACACGTGTGTACATGTGTAAAGTGGACCCCTAATTTCCATAGATTGGCCACCTGAGAATCACCTGGGGAGCCTTTTCAAAAGTCACATCCCTGGGTTTTGATTGCAGACAGTTGGGGTACAGCCTGGTAGTCCATATTGTCAAGAAGGTTTCATCAGTTCCATAGAAAGATAGAACTACTGTGTGATCCAGCGATTCCCCTCCTGGGCACAGACCCAAAAGAATTGAAAGCAGGGACTCAGATATCCATAGCAGCATTGATCACAAAAGTCAAGCGGTGGGAACGACCCAAGTGTCCATCCACAGATGAATGGATAAACCAAACGTGGTACCTACACACAGTGGAATATTATTTGGTCTTAAAAATGGAATGAAATCTGACAGATGCTGCCATAAGAATGAACCTTGAGGACATTATGTAAGCGTAATAATCATACATATTGTATGATTTCGCTTATTGGAGGTCCCTACAGTAGTGAAATTCATGGAGACAGCAAGTAGAGTGTTGGCTGGCAGGAGATGGGGGAAAAGGGAGTTAGCGTTTGCTAGGTGCAGAATTCCAGTTTGGGGTGATGAAAAAGTTCTGGAGGTGGATGGTGGTGATGGTTATACAACAAGATGAATATACTCAATGCACTGGACTGTATACCTAATAATGGGTAATATGGTAAACTTCATGTTGTGTATGTTTTATCTTAACACACACACACACACACACACACACACGTGCTTTCTTCTAGCCAGATCTGGGAGTGAATAGTGTGGGAATGGGAGGGGACAAGGACTTAGATGGGTTCTGATGGCCACTCTTGACCTCCCAGCCTGGTGGGGGCTGAGACGGTAGCATCTGAACTGCTGATGTCTCTAGAGGGCAGCCCTTTCCTGGGGGGTGCGCATTTCAATCCCTCTGGAGGCCAGGCAGGCTGCCTGCATGGACGCCCCGTGGCCTGTCCATGGGAGTGGCTGCTCCCTATCTCCAGCCAGTTCTTGCCACGTGGGATGCCTGGTTATGGAGAAAAGTCTGAAATCTGGATTTGCATGGCAAGTCTCCTCGTGGTTTCAGATCTTGACACCTAGTTCAGTGAACAAGCAAACAAGCCACGTGTGGGTCAAGCATGACAAGTCCCCAGGCGTCTGGGGTGGCTTCTTTTCTCAGAGCTTGTAGGCTGGGGCCCCATCTAGAGAGATCCCCATTCCTGCTCCTCTTACTCAACACTCCATCACTTCTGTGGCCGGACACCATTTTTTTTTTTTTTTTGAGAATTTCCCTGGCTTTCGAAGCACCCCAAAGGAAAGTCTACACACAGAAGGGTGAGGGTGCAGGCCTAGGGTCTGGATTCCACTCAAGTTGGGGTCTTGGCTCTGCCATTACTGAGCCATTAAAGGCCACTTTCTTCTTTCTTCCGTGCCTCGGTTTCCTTATCTGTCAAGGGGGAATAGTCATAGTTCTGCCTTGTAGACTTACAGTGAGGGCTCCAGAGAGTGCACGTGAGTGGCTTGGCCCGGGGAAGGGCCTGGGGAAGAGCTCTGCTGTGTGTGCCCATGTGTGTTGACCCAAGCTAGAGGAAAGAGCCCATGAGTCTAGTCGGACAGGCCATCAGCTGGCGAGTTGCTCAACTTTGGACATTTGTTTTTTCATCTGTGACGTTGGTCCAGTGATCTCTTCCTCAAAGAGTCATTCTGAAGATTAAACAAGGTAATGTTCAAATCTTACCTGGCCACAGCAAGTGTCCAGTGCACACTCGTTCTGCCCCTTGGAGTCTGAGGCCTTTGCCTTCTGCAGAGATTGGAAAGGAAGGAAGACAGGATGAGCAGAGAGCAGAGAAAGGACCCCCCCACCCCAGCTCCCTCTCCTACTTCCCAGCCCCCGGGGTGGGGGTTCCTGGTCCTGGCCTCAGAAGCTAACCCAACTCACTGATGGGGAACCCGGCCTCAGCTGCCCAGGGCAGCCGGGTTGACAGTGAGGAATCCTCACTCATGGAGACCAGCTCCCTGCCAGCCCCGGGGCACACACTGGGCCAAGGTGGGTACAAGCTAAGCTCCTCCTGCATCCCTTGGTTTGCTGGTTGGAGAGAGGGGCCCAAGCCTGCTCTGGGAGGGTTAGAGACTGGAGGCACTGCACACCCACCCAGAGCAGGGAGCAGGCCCAGGGTGCCCAAGCTCTGTCCCAGATCCTACTTCTCTAACTGTGCCCCAGACTCCACAGGGGTTGAGGTGTTGACTGTGTGAAGGAAAGTAAAAGGCCCTTAATATCCCAAGATACTGAGGGGTCTAAAGGGCTATGTGACCTTTAGCATGATGGTATCTGAGGCCACTCTGGGGGTGGGGGGTGGGTGATGGCATCTCAGTCCCTTGAGAGTCCTGGCACGACACAGAGGGGCCTCCGGGTCTGAGGCCCAAGCACTGGTGGGCTCAGGGACACGGGCGAGAGTTGGCGCTTCCCCTTGCTGTTTGCACACCTGAGCGTTCTGCCATCTGTCCACTGTCCCATGGGGAAGGAGTAGCGTGGGTGATGGGAATGCCCCGTGTGTATACCTTATTCAGCTCCGTGTGTTCACTGCATAGTCGTCATGTGTGTGGGGTCAGCATGTGTGCATCTTCATTGCACGTGTGTTCATCATGTGTGCCTATGCATTACATATGCATGTCCCTAGCGTGTGCATGCTCATCATACGTGCACACCGGGGAGGATGTGAGGCAGGATGGGGCCCTTCTGGAGTCCTTCCAGCCTTGAGAATGCAGCCTCTTGTGGCCGTGGGGTTTGTAAGGAGGGGGAAGAAGGGGGTACAGGAGCCGAGTGGAAATTGAAGTCCCTGCTCCCGGCATCTGGCCTCCAGTTGGGGAAGGGGACTCTCCACAGAAAACAAGAGGACCAAAAGAGGCAATGAGGGGGCTGCAGTCCACTCACTTGTGGATCCATTCTGTGAGGATTTCCTGAACCCGAAGGCAGTATGAAGTCCAGCCGACCTGGCCCCTGCCATGGGAAGGCTGGGGTCTAGTCTGGGCCCAGAGGCTGGGCACCCAGCAGGTCTGAACAGCGGTGGGAGATGTCGACAAAGAACAGGGCACCGGATGTGGGCTCAGGCCTGGCTGACTGGAGGGGCCCGTCTGCTCCTGCTGGTGGAGGGGCCCAGGCCCGACTGTGCGGGGAGAACACACACGCTTGATGCTGGCCAGCAGGGGGTGTGTGTGTGCTTGCTGGGGTCTGGGGTGTGTCACTGACTTGACCTTAAGCCCCCTGGCTGTCTCCCAGCCCCGGAAGCTGGTGGACAGACTCACTGGGATGGGAACCAGGCTCTGGAGCCTTGGACAAGACCAACATCAGCCCAACATCTTTTCCCCCCATTTCTGCAGGGGGTGGAGGAAAGCGCAAGGGGAAAAGCAAGAAGTGGAAGGAAATCCTGAAGTTTCCTCACATTAGCCAGTGTGAAGACCTCCGAAGGACCATAGGTAAGCTGTCCTCTGCCTGGAGGGGGTGCGGGGAAGGGGCTGGGAGAGGAGCGAGGAGCCCGTTGACCAACAAACTGATTATACAGTGAGTCAAATACGAACCCGTTAATGCAGCAGAGTGATTCCAGATAGGAGCTCCAGGCTGACATCCTTGCTAATTGACATAAAGATGAAACTAACAGGGGCGCCTGCGTGGCTCAGCTGGCTAAGCGTTCGACTCTTGATTTCGTCTCAGGCTGTGATCTCAGGGTTGTGGGTTCAAGCCCCGAGTTGGGCTCTGCACTAGGCATGGAGCCTGCTTAGGATTCTTTCTCTCCCTCTCCCTTTCCCCTTCCCCCCAACCCCCCCCCCCAAAATAGGAAACTAACAGTCATTGAATATTTGGTGTGTGCTGGGCAGGAGTATCTCCCAATTACCCTTGGAGGCAAGTACTGGGTTTTTTTCCTCCATCTTTCAGATGTGAGGATCTGTAAGTGGCCCGAAGTTGCACAGCTTGTGGGAGGGTGGTGGAGGTGGGCCAGGCCTGGCACTGAGCGCCCCTCACAGCTCTTACCCTTCTTGCCCGGAGCCTGTGGGCTCTGCCCTCAGTGAGCAGGCTTTGGGAGCTGAGAGTGGGGTGAATGTCTGGGTTTCCTTTCCTCTTGCTGAGGATGCTGATGCTCATGGAGGGGCCACCCTGTTCAGTGAGACAGCCCAGTCCTCTTTATTGGGTACCCACTCAGCCAAGCACCTCCCACAGCAGAGGGGCCTTGTTTTTCATGGGTCCGGCACAGCCAAACTCACCAATTGAGAACACAGCGCTCCCAGGGAGGGGGTGGACATGATGAGGCTCCTCCATACTGGTGGGGGCCCTGGCCCTTCTCTCCTGTGAGCTCTTTATACGCCCCTTGCCATATGAAGGCTTCTTATCTGTTCCTGACTATTGGAGGGCATGGACGTGTTAACCACTTCTTAGTACACCGAGATCCGTTGAGCACTGGACATAGGGTGGCCTTGTCACCCAGAACTCTGTGGGCCTAGCTGCCCTTGGGACTTCTGCCTGGGGCTGTGGGTGAACTGCCCAATGCCTGCCATGAAATGTGAGGCCACTCACGATCACTTAGGTTTTCTGAATGGCTTTTCTAGGTGGCCTGGCCTCCACCAGTTCCCCAGGCCAGGCAGGACTTACATGGCATCCTAAGCCTGCTCAGTCCTGGCCGCTTGAGCCACCCTCCAGATTCTTCTGCTTTGCTGTGATAGCAGGTGACAACTGTTTGCTCTGTGTGCCCCACATGCCCGCCATGGAGCTCCCTTAATTAGTGTTTATGAAATGAAAGGAAGCCACCTGCACCCCATGAAGGCAGATATGAGCAGGTGAAGCAGGTAGGGTGCTAAAGCATGGGGAAATGTCCTCAAGATCCACCGTCCACCTTAACAACTCAGATCAGGTCCCCCACCGTGTTCTTGGTGCGAGTGGCGCTGGCCTAAGGGATCAGGGTCAATGGATTCAGACAGACTTGGGTTCAGATCCCACCTGACGAGTCACTTAATCTTAGTGACCTTCCATTTCCTCAGGTGAAAGAAGTGATCATGAACCCAGTCAAATGAGACCATGTGTGTAAATGGGGCTTCACTGGAGCCCTCCTCAGGAGCCCAGGACACCCTCCCCTTAGCACTCCAGCTTTCTTTCTGGAATGCCCAATAGCCACCACTCTGCTGGGCCCTTCCCGTGCTGGGCGTGCTGCAGTCACCCTTGATGCTGGGGACGCCTGGGGCAGGGTGGGAGAGAAGATGGGCACCATCTCCTGGGCCTGGGAGCATTTTGCCAAGCTAAACTCCAGGTGGCTTTCAGAGAGAAGGGAGGAAGAGCCTCTCTGGAGTCTGGCCATTATTTCCCTGGGCCATTTTATTCTTCATGCTAACTTAAACTTGGAGAGGGGCGCCTGGGTGGCTCAGTCGTTAAGCGTCTGCCTTCGGCTCAGGTCATGGTCCCAGGGTCCTGGGATCGAGCCCCGCATCGGGCTCCCTGCTCGGCGGGGAGCCTGCTTCTCCCTCTCCCACTCCCCCTGCTTGTGTTCCCTCTCTCGCTGTGTCTCTCTCTGTCAAATAAATAAAATCTTAAAAAAAAAAAAAAAACTTGGAGAGAATAGGGCCTAGGGATGGGGACCTCAGTTACCATGTTGTCGTACACCCTGGGGAGACAAGCCCTCTCTGGTCCAGGGTGAGCAAGTTCACTGGAGACCAGAATGCCTGTTCTGGGTCCTGAGCCCGGTTTTCCTCAACGGGCCCAGGGAATGGCTCCCACTCATGCTTACAGCCAAAGAATTGATGCAAGAGGCTTTTCTGGGGTGCTGATTTGGAGGAGAGAGCTTGAAATAGGAGGAAAGACCCCCCGCACTGAAGTGGGGAGCTGTGCAGAGAGGTGGGGTAATTGTGGGAGAGCCAGCTTGCTTGGGAGGAGCCTTGCCCATGAAGCTTGTTCTTGGGAAGCTGTTTGCCTCTCTGCCTTTGGGTAGACTGCCCACAGGTGGTGATACCAGGCATGACCTGGGGGCACAGTCAGGCCCCACAACTACTTCCTCAGAGAATTTGACTTAGGCCCCTGGTAAGGATCTTTCAGAGCACACCGTCCTCTTCTGTGGGAGCACCCTGCCTCAGCTGTTCTGGTCACTCCAAGTGCGAAAGGCTCTTCAGGAAGGATCTTTTCAATTCGCCACTGTGTAGCTGGTGCCTGAAGGTGCACAACAGAGGTTGGGTGGATGAATGAGCAAAGAATGAAGGGGCGTGAGTAGCACTGAATTTATACAGTGTTTCCAATAAATGGAAAAGTATTGAAAGCCCTGTAAGGGCTTTCCTGTAACTGCCAGACAGGTTAAAGAAATTGGAGTATTCTGCTGTATTTGATTCATGTGTTTCTTAAAAATATAAAACATAGGGGCATCTGGGTGTCTCAGTCAGTTAAGCGTCTGCCTTCAGCTCAGGTCATGATCTCAGGGTCCTGGGATTGAGCCCCGAGTTAGGCTCCCTGCTGAGCAGGGAGCCTCCTTCTCCCTCTGCCTCTGTGTGCTCGCTTGCTCTCTCTCTCAAATAAATAAATAAATCTTAAAAAAAAATATATAAAACATAATATGAAATGTAGGACTTCAGTTCCAGACATGATGGAGTAGACTCACTGTCCCCTACCCTCCCACCAAGGACAGGCAAAAGCTCTGGGCATTATGTATGAAACAAAGAGAGGAAAGTTGTGAAAAGTGGAGAGATGAAGGCAGACTGGCTGGGGACCCGGGAATGTGAGGAATGACATGTTAGCAAGCTCCTGGGTTCTCTTTTCTGCCTCCCTTATTCCCAGGGACCGGGTGCTGGAGAGACTCACAATCCAGAAATGCCAGTGGGTACAGATAAAAACGAACCCCCTCCCAAGAAAAACAAAACCCAGCCTGTTCTTTCTAACCAGAGCCCTGGGAAAGGGGCTCCGAGCTGAACAGGCAGCGGTTGGAAACAGCGGTCACTCTTCCACGCTGGTCCTCACCAGCGACGTGGGTGCCTCTGTTTCCCTTTCTGCTGCTCAGTTAACCTGGTTCCAAAGACCAAGTGCATGCTTCCTCTCTGTTTCTCTCTGACTGTTCTGATCCTTTGAGGTGAACCAGCCCTGCCCCTTCCAGCCCCCTCCTTCCAAAGCCAGACCCTCCACATCCCACACTGCATCCCTGTCCCTCCACGAGGCTCGCAGGCATTGCCGAGAAGTACCACAAATGTCCCTCAGCTCCCAGTTGGCCTGGCCCCGCTCTCACTTTCTGTTTGGGGCATCTGGGAGCATAGGATTCAGCTCTCAGCTTGTCTTGGTCTGAGGACCCCACCCCATGGGCCCCATCCCCATCTGTCCCTGTATGTCCATAAACAGGCCTCTTGGCAGGGCCCACTCCCCGGGGAGGGTGGGAGAAACGTGCGTGCCGGTGTGTGAAAATGGATTCTTCTGTTCTCCTGGAGGGCATTGAAAAGACTCTGTGTGTGCAAGAGCAGTGCGAAGAGAGGCCCGGGGAAAACAGGAAGGCAGCCATAAACGGCGGGGCTGCTGCTCGTGGCAGTGGGTCCCGGTGCCTGAGCCTCCCTGAGCGGTCACGGTCCGTCCCCCTGGTGTTTGCCTGGCCTCTGCTGGGGTCCTGCTGGAAGACTTTTCTAAAATAAAAATCTCATTTCTTTTCTAGACGAATATACAAACCAAACAGGGGCAAATGCCGCATTTATTTTTCTTGTGGACACATGAGCTCACTTTCTGAAGCTCTTTGGGAGGATGCCCTGCGGGGGGTGGGGTTCGGGCCAAGGGACAGGGTTCCTCTGGACCCAGAGGTTAGCGTGAGGTGGGGTGGTGGGCAGGCTCCTGATCAGAGGGAAGAGCACGAGGACCCGGGGACGCTGCCCCCTCCCGACGGCCCAGGACAGTGGTCAGGGAAGGCCACGCCCTCTCCTGCCCTTGACATTGCCCCACACAACCACAGGCCCTGCAGCCAGTGGGACTTTGAAACACGGAAACCGTAGCCCTCGAAACCCGTTGAAACGGCAGCTCTCTGTCCCGCCCGGAATAAAAGTCAAACTCCTTACCGTGGCTTGTGAGCCCCTGGGCTATTGGGCGAAGCCTAGGGACCCCTTCTCAGAACAAGGCTCTTCCTTTTCTAAAACAAAATTCATGGGGTTATAAGGGAAGCCAGTTCTCTTCAGATTCAGTTCTTAGATACTTTTCAAATTTATGATATTGGAATATGTGTGCTTTTCTGTTAAGACTTTAAATAATAACGGCCAACCGCTGGTCTCATGGCTACTGTAACTTTGCATTTGTGATGAGCATTAGTGCTATTTGCAGATGTCTGCAACAGTGGTGTTATGGACGAGCAGTTTCTGTCGTCGACCAGTCCTGGGCACCCCTAACGTCACCGTCGGTTGTTGTTGACGTTCGAGACTGGAGAAGTGCTGGTTTTCAGGTAGAGGTTGGTGAAAAGAGAGATGACGTTTTTCTCCATCCAAGT